CACCCCCGTCTCCACAAACAAAAAAAAGAACTGGCAGAGTCAAACATACATGTTTTTGAACATATCAATTTACAAACAGAAATTCAAAATATAAGATAATTGAAAAATTGAAAATTGAAAAAAAAAAAATTGTCTGTATTGGTTTAGCAATGTGTATTTGGCATTTTTTGTATGTATATTTGTGTATTTAGATATGTATGCATGTATGTGTGTATAAATAATGTGAGCATGTTTGTCATTGAAACTCACATTTCCTCAAGGGATCGATATAATTTAAATTTATAATTTACTTCAATTATAAAATACAATCAACAGCTATACATTGTGACCTGTGGATCAACAGCAAAAACTGAACAACTGAGAGGTGCTGAACATTCTGGGGAAAATAAGCACCGCGATAACACATTTGAAAAAGTACAGCCGCTATTGAGAGAAAGAAGACTAACTCTTTTTGACCTTTTTTTGACGGGTGAGTAAAAACATTCGAGTTATTTACTTTTCTCGCAACAGCAACAACAATATGCGACAAATCAAAGAGCTTTACGTCTGAGCTCAGCAACAACAATCATAATAATAAATGAAATGTATGTTTAATATAGAGCATATTCCCACTCAACAGCAAGTTTTCTGCGCTTTACATTAACTCCTACCATTGTCCCATTAGGCCCTAGAACACTCAGAAACATTCTCAGCTTCCTGGGAAACAATCAAAATAAAACGTTAAAAAAATAAAGTAAACAACAATCTATATAAACAAATCTTTCTGGGCTGATTGGTTTGATCGACATGACTGTGAAACAACAAAAGAGGAGGAAACAGAATTGTCTGTCGCTTTTGGCTACCTCAGATTTACAAAGTCCTATCTGACATATTGTGGGTGGTTGGCCGATGCTCTGGCGTGGTATGCTTCTTCTTTCCTATGAAACATCTATCGTCCTTATCTCCCCTTCTTCTTTTTTATATTTGTTACTCTCTTGTAACGCCTCAAATCTTCTGGTGCTCATATGACCTTATGCAGTTGCGAACGCCGTAAAACCTCTACTAAAATTTAACAAAATAATCCGACATTTTTGGCCGTGTTGAGTCACTAAGCCCATGAGTCAGAGACCAAATGTTCTATCCGCTCCATCAAAATTGTAAGATTATTCGGGGTCGTTATCAAGATATTCAAAGAATTGTATTCTTTTTATATTATTTAGTAGAGGTTTTACGGCACTCGCAACTGCATAAGGTCATATAAGCGCCAAGGTGTGGATGTCAACAGAGAAATCTTTACAGGAAATCAGACTTACCCTGCTCACCTCTCTAGCTTAAACAGCACAAAGTCTGTTTCGACTATCAAGGCACCCTGGAAATAGCGGGTCACAAGAGTGTGACAAACATACAAAAGAAGTAGAGGAAAAAATGACAATAGTAAGGATCAGGAAAGAAAAAGCAGCAGTTCCCTGTTGTAGATCAGGCACAGTTATGAGCATGACATTGATGAATCAGCTCATTTACAATTCAATTCTACTGAGCATGAACGAGAAATGTCCCCCCTTTGGGAATGGCCTAAAGACACTTCACTCAGTGGCACCGCCCCGGGGGGGGGGGCAGGGGGAAGAATTGTATTCGAAAAAGCCTAACATGTTGTAAGTCAAAAACATGCTTTACATCAAACTTCTCAAAATTTGGTACTGAACAGATAGAACTTTGTCATTCTGAAGTGGCGTAATGTTGTCAAACATGCTCCCTGCACATGAACTGTTGTTACAGTTATCTGTCTCCGTGGTTTTATGCACACTGCATAATTTAGCAAAATTTGATCATTTTTTGCATAATTTCTGATTATTTTCCTATATCATTCTTTGTTCAAATTAAAAGAATCGCATAATTTTTCACATTTTCGGGCTCAGTTTGCATAATTTCAGATTTTTTCTTGCATAAAACGAAGGGGACAGAATTATACAGGCCATTAGGCCACACCCGGGGAAAACGGAAGTCTTGTAGACTCCCTGGCCTGAGGAGGGTGTTCCTCGAACGCAAACCTGGCCGGCCGGTACTGTCCAGTAGCGGGCCATTTGGTAATTTGGGTGGCTGGAATTGTTTCATATTTCCCTCTTTTCCAAAGTGCAAACACTTAGGAAATAAATAAAGACATGAAGGTGGGGGGGGGGGGGGTAATACTGAGACGATATTATCATTACAGAGTCAGAAGTGACTTACCACATTTTGGCTACAAAAATAATACAGCTCATTCCTTCTGCAGGTCTTTTACGCCTCCATAATATCAATGTCAAAACCAAATTAGTCTTTAGTTTTAGTAAAGTTTTACGGCACTGGCAACTGCATAAGGTCATATGAGCGTCAAGGGGTGGATGTCAACAGAGAAGTCCAAACGGGGAATCAGGATTACTCTGCTCACCTCTCTAGCCTCAAAAGCACAAAGTCAGCTTCGACTACCAAGGCACCTCGGAAATAGCAGTTCACAAGAGAGCGACAAACATACAAAAGAAGTAGAGGAAAAAACGACAAGAGCAAGGATGAGGAAAGAAAAAGCAGCAATGCCCGTCGCCTTAAGTCAAAGAATCAACTGTTCTTTCAAACAGCAAATATGGGTGAAGCCACTTCTGATTGTGTGTAACAACGTTACAGCCGTGTGAGTATTTTATCTACGAGTAACAATTATCTGGTTGTAACAATTGTTACTGTAATGGTTAACTCCAGCAATTATCTGGTTGTAACAATTGTCACTGTGATGGTTAACTCCAGCAATTATCTGGTTGTAACAATTGTTACTGTGATGGTTAACTCCAGCAATTATATGGTTGTAACAATTGTTACTGTGATGGTTAACTCCAGCAATTATACAAAATATCATAATCTTCTGTAATGGTTAACTCCAGCAATTATACAAAATATCATAATCTTCTGTAATGGTTAACTCCAGCAATTATACAAAATATCATAATCTTAACACCACTGAAAAACCAGCAGTCAATTACCCCTGAGATCTGGCAGGGGAACGCAGAGAAGAAAAAGAAGATAACCCTGTTGCAGCCTGACCACTTGAGCTAAGGATAAAATGTCTCAGAGAATGCGCTGTCAGTACGTGGAAACAAACGGGATCCCTGTCTCTGTCTCTCTCTCTCTGTCTCTCTCTCTCTCGCTCCTCCTCTCTGACTGTCTCTCTCTCTTTCTCCTACTTCTCTCTCTCTCTCTGTCTATCTCTCTCTGTCTGTCTCTCTCTCTCTCTCTCTCTCTGTCTCTCTCTCTCTGTCTCTGTCTCTGTGTGTGTGTGACTAGCTACTTCGACAGTCCATGCCGGGTTCATCCAGAAGGTTATTCACTTTGTCCAGCAAGTGTTTCGGCAGCTTCTTCATGAAGTTCTTGGACGTTGAGTCCGTCTTTCTGCGGGCCGCCACAATGGCGAGGATAGACAGCGGCCCCACCTTGTGAACCACACACTGCTCCAGAAGCTCGCGACTCTCAGGGGAGCTCTTCAGCTTGAGAAACTCTCGTTCTCCCTCCGTGAGGCCTCCGGCCGAGCGTGGGTCTGTCTGTTCCGGTGAGGCGAGCCCCGCTGGGACCAGATTTTGCTGGACGACGTAAAACTTTCGGGAGCTGGGCACGAACCGCGTGCCCCGTGTCAGGGTCTGTTCGTTGAGGTTGGAAAACGGCGTGAGTCGGCGCTCGGTGTCGAAGAGACTGTCGCCGCTTCCGCTGTCTCTGGTCCGTTGTCGCAGCCTGCGCTCGGCCTGTAGGGCCAAAGGTCGGAAGTCGCTGATAGACAGGCTTTGGCTGAAGGAGGTGGCCAGGGCTGGGGGGGACTGGGAGGGAAGGGGCGGGGCCGGGAGACCGTCCGTGGCATTCAGCGGGAACGGCGGACTGCTGCGGCGGCGAAGTGTGGTGTCATGGCTGTTCGAATCCAACACCGGGTCACGGTTATCTGCTGCTCGTGCCGGGAGGGAAAAGGTAAAGATAACAGAAGGCTGTAGAGAGTGGGTATACCCTATATCAAAACAATCATTATTATCATTATTACTATTACTACTATTATTATCATGACCATAATCATCATCGTAATCATCATTATTATCATAAATTATAATTCTTATTATTATATTATAATCATATATTAATTACTATCACTTGTAAGCACAAGGAGGCTATCCCGCATTCACTGATGTTGTACTTTCAGTATCGCATTCATCATTAAGCCACTCTTTATCTCTTGACAAAATCTGGTTTCAACATCTGTACATTATCATGTTATCACCCAGCATATTCTGTTTAACATTGACCTAATTCACAAGGGATTCCTGTCAATATGAAAGGATTTCAAATCCTCGGTTTTTTCCATCTCTTGATTTTACGTATCGAAACTTCCCTTAACATGATAAAAAAATTCCAGCAGACCTGGTTAACATGGACAAATTTTGGGCTGTTTCATCATTTCTCCTCACTGGCCTTCATTCCTCCTCACAAGCTTTCATTCCTCCTCACAAGCTTTCATTCCTCCTCACTGGCCTTCATTCCTCCTCACAAGTTTTCATTCCTCCTCACAAGCTTTCATTCCTCCTCACTGGCCTTCATTCCTCCTCACAGGCTTTCATTCCTCCTCACAAGCTTTCATTCCTCCTCACTGGCCTTCATTCCTCCTCACAGGCTTTCATTCCTCCTCACAAGCTTTCATTCCCCCTCACAGGCTTTCATTCCTCCTCACAAGCTTTCATTCCTCCTCACAGGCTTTCATTCCTCCACACAGGCTTTCATTCCTCCACACAGGCTTTCATTCCTCCTCACAGGCTTTCATTCCTCCACACAGGCTTTCATTCCTCCTCACAGGCTTTCATTCCTCCTCACAGGCTTTCATTCCTCCTCACAGGCCTTCTATCTTTCCTTCTTCCCTTCTCTCTCCCTCCCCCCCACCCAGTTGTTAATAGACAAACTCACCTCATTATTATTATCATATTATGAAACATTGTAACGTGCGGAAATGTTCTGATGCCATGAATGTTGGATCAGGATGATCCCCTTTTGTTTTTGGGTTACAATAATAAAAGAAGACACATTTCCTGTTGACTTTGGAAGAAGAAAGAACACAACGCGGTGTCTACCTATTTTTACTGAACGAATGAACAAATGTGATCCAGTTTAATCCACAAAGTCTTAAGTTTCTCAATTATATCAAACACCCACTGACCAACAACAGCAACCTTCCATTGTAAAAACAGGCCACACAATATGTGAGGCAGCGTGGTGGAATCAGGCTCTCGTCAATTTTTGGGCATGTAGAGTTATTGGTATCATCTTAAAGTTTGTTCGCTTTTCTTTATTTGGATGAACAAAATATCCATTTATCTTTTATACAAGTCAAGATATTTGCGAAAGAAGGAGGTGGGGGTCACCTGTTTTCAGAGGTAAAATTAGTAAGAAAATGGCCGCTAAAGATTAGTTATTTCCTTAGCTTAAGAGTCCGTGGTAACTGAAAATTTTCATTTTGTGCCTTTAATCAACGCTTTCAGAAAAATCCACACAGAAATTAGTTTTTTAATGGGCATGAAAGGTGTCGAGCCAAAAAACAAAAATTTGTTAAAAGTTCACAAAACTGTGGAAAAAGGCAAGTTTCTTCACTTTGATTATTTTGACGAGAGCCTGATTCCACCATGCTGCCTCACCTATGTTTATCAGACCCTGTCCTACAAACCAAAGACTCTCTCACACCACGTGCTTTACACAACAAAATTCTCTGGCCTCATGAAGTTCATGTTATTGGAGTTTACCTGTATCTGTAATAATATGCGAGGCAGCGAGGTGGAATCAGGCACTCGTCAAAATCTGGCATTTTTCAGCCAGTTCGGCAATTTTAATCGAATTTTTGTTTTTTTGGCTTAACACCGTTCTTCTCCAATTAAGAATACATTTCTGTGTGGATTTTACGGAAAAACATTGATTTAAGGAACAAATAATGAAAGGTTTCAGTTTCCACGGACTATCAAGCTATGGAAATAACCAAACTTTGGCGTCCATTTTCTCGCTAATTCTACCTTTGAAACCAGGCGACCCCTCCTTCTTCAATCTGAACTACCTTGAATTCTATTCAAGATGGCTGGGCATTTTTTTCACTGATAGCAAGACAACTGAACAAGCTTTAAGATGACACCAATATCTCCACATGCCCAAAAACTGACGAGCGCCTGACTCCACCACATCGTGACACATTTGTGAGGCAGCGTGGTGGAATCAGGCTCTCGCCAATTTTTGGGCATGTAGAGTTATTGGTATCATCTTAAAGCTAGTTAACTTGTCTTTATTTGGATGAAAAAATATCCATTTATTTTGAATACCAGTCGAGATATTTGCGAATGAAGGAGGAGGGGGTCACCTGTTTTCAGAGGTAAAATTAGTAAGAAAATGGCCGCTAAGATTAGTTATTTCCTTAGCTTAAGAGTCCATGGCAACTGAAAATTTACATTTTTTGTGCCTTTAATCAACGTTTTTCAGAAAAATCCACACAGAAATGAGTTCTTTAATGGACATGAAAAGAGTAGAGCCAAAAATTCGATAAAAATTCACAAACCTGCGGAAAAATGCAAGTTACTTCACTTTGATTATTTTGACGAGCACCTGACTCCACCACATAGTGACACATGTATCCTTACCATGAAAATAAAGTCAATAATTGTACAGGATCTGCCCCTCACACTAGCACACGACCCACAACTTCCTTTAGTCATATATTCATATGACCTTTGAGCATGCATCAGAATAACATTGAGTATGTATCTAGCTTAAGGTTATTGTTGTTAATATTGCTGCTCATGTATATTATGCATGTGATTGTAAGCCCCCATGTGGGTGCGTGTGTGTGTGTGTGTGTGTGTGTGTGTGTATGTGCGTGTGTGTGTGTGTGTGTGTGTGTGTGTATGCGTGTGTATGCGTGTGTGTGTGTGCGTGCGTGCGTGCGTGTGTGTGCGTGTGTGTGTGTGTGTGTGAGTATACACGTGGTGAAACACCAAACCAATGTGCCCGGACCTGGACAATAAAGACGTATCTTATCTTATCTCTTATCTCATTTTATAAGCTGAGTGCTAGTGAGTGCTCACCCACGACCTCTCCGGTCGGAGTTCGGTCCTCGTCGCAGTGCACCAGAACCTCCACTTCGCTGTTCTCCCTGGTGCTGCTGTCGCTGCTGTGGCTGCCGCTGCGGGGGGCCGA